TTGTCTTCTTCTCCTTCTTTTCCATTCCTTCTTCTTCCTCCTCCTCTTCCTCCACCTCCACCCCCTTGATCTTCGTGTAGGTCTTCGTGCAGGCAGTCTACTAGCCTATTAGGATAAAAAAAAAAAAGGAAAAATGGAGGAAGGAAGATTGGAGGAGGAGGATGAGGAGGAAGAAGAATAAGAACAAAGTGGGAAAAGAACAAGAAAAGAAGAAGACGAAGAAGGAAGAAAAAGAAGAAGGAGAAGAGGAGGAAGAAGAAGAAGATGGAGGAGAAGGTCAAGCATGTTCACATCTGGGGATTATTTGTCGTCTTCCTTCGAACTTCGAAGAAGGACAACCCCTACGAATAGAAGGGAAGAGGGGGGGATGCACAAGAGGTGGAGGAGGGAAGATGGCGGGAGGAAAGATGGGCGTGGAGGGAGATGGAGAAGGTGGAGGAAGAGGAAAGATGAAGGCGGCGGAGGAGAGAGATGACCTGGCGGCAAGGAGAAAAAAAAGAAAAGAAATTTAAAGAGAACCGAGGGAGCAAGGACGGAGAAGGAGGTGGACGAGGAGGAACGAGAGATGACAGAGGTAAAGAGAGGTGACGAAGTGAGTAGGGGGGAGGGCGAAGAAATGGGGGGAGGAAGAATGGAGGAGGAGGTGGACGAGGAGGGTATGAGATAGCGGAGGAGGAAGAAGAAGAAGGAACCAAAATGGAGGACGAGAAGAAGAAGATGAAGAAGAAGACGAACAACAAGTAGAAGAATAGGTGGGGACGACGAAGAAGAAGCTCAAAAGCTTCAGCTTCTTGTTCGTCTTCTTTTTCTTCTCTTCTTCTCCTTCTTTTCCGGTCTTTCTCCTTCCTCCTCTTCCTCCACCTCCACCCCCTCGATCTTCAGTCTACTAGCCTATTAAAATTAAAATTAAAAAAACGAAAAATGGAGGAAGGAAGATTGGAGGAGGTGGACGAGGAGGAAGAAGAAGAAGAACGAAGTGGGAAAAGAAGAAGAAAAGAAGAAGACGAAGAAGGAAGAAAAAGAAGAAGGAGAAGAGGAGGAAGAAGAAGAAGACGGACGAGAAGGTCAAGCACGTTCGCATCTGGGGATTATTTGTCGTCTTCCTTCGAACTTCGAAGAAGGACAACCCCTACGAATAGAAGGGAAGAGGGGAGGATGCACAGGAGGTGGAGGAGGAGGGAAGATGACGGGAGGAAAGATGGACGAGGAGGGAGACAAAGAAGGTGGAGGAAGGGGAAAGACGAAGGAGGCAGAGGAGAGATGACCTGGTGGTGAGGAGAAAAAAAGGAAAGAAATTTAAAGAGAACCGAGGGAGCAAGGACGGAGAAGGAGGTGGACGAGGAGGAATGAGATATGGCAAAGGTAAAGAGAGATGACGAAGTGAGTAGGGGGAGGGCAGAGAAATGGGGGGAGGAAGAATGGAGGAGGTGGTGGACGAGGAGGGAATGAAATAGCGGAGGAGGAAGAAGAAGAAGGAACCAAAATGGAGAAGAAGAAGAAGAACAAGAACAAGAAGTAGAAGAGAAGGTGGGGACGGTGAAGAAGAGGCTCAAAAGCTTGAGCTTCTTGTTCGTCTTCTTTTTCTTCTCTTCTCCTTCTCCTTCTTCTTCTTCTTCTTCTTTTCCATTCCTTCTTCTTCCTCCTCGTCCTCCACCTCCCCCCTGTCTATCTTCGTGTAGGTCTTCGTGCAGGCAGTCTACTAGCCTATCAGGAGGAAAAAAAAAGGGGAAATGGAGGAAGGAAGAATGGGGAAGGTGGAGGAGGGACACGCGATGGCAGAGGAGGAGGAGGAAGAATAAAACTGGGAAAAGAAGAAGATGAAAAGAAGAACAAGTTGAAGAAGGGAAAAAAAAAGATGAAGAGGAAGAAGAAGAAGAGAAAAAAAAGAAGAAGACGGACAAGAAGTTCAAACGCGCTCTGGGGAAAATCCGTCGTCGTCCTTCGTACAGGAAAATGAGAGATAGCGAGATGACAAAATCTAGAAAGCAAAATCACATTGGAAGCAAGAAAGTCCCACATTGTCCAGCAAGCAGCATTGCACCAATGTTACTCCAATGGAGAATCGAAACACTAAAACCGAATGTCAATAAGAGCTTACTCTCGTCCCCACCAACATCCGTATCCGGGCCCTCTCTCCCTACTTGGCACTTGGCGCCCAGGCTACTCCCTACACAGCTACTTCCTGCCTACGAATTGACAATGCAACTGTTGACGTCAGCAGCCACCGAAGTACTTGAAGATGTCGAGCGATGCAGACCATCGCCAATACCAGGTATGCGCCCTCACATCACCATCCTCATCTCTTTCATGCTCTCCCTATCCTTGTCTTCCTCCCACGTCGTCTTCCTTGGAGGATGCACACGGGGGAAAGAAGGAAGAAAAAGAAGAAGAAGAAGAAGAAGAAGAAGAAGAAGAAGAAGAAATGACCGACAAGAAGAAGAAAAGAAGATGAAAAAGAAGAAGAAAGAGCAGGAGAGGAAGAAGACGAGGAGGAGGACGAGGAGGAGAGGAGGAGAAGAAGCAGGAGGGTTGGAAGGGAAGAATGACCTGATGGCAATGGTTCTCTCTGGCGGCGTGTGACAGGAAACTGGAGCGGCCACGCGCGTGGCTGGAATCTAGAGCGGCAAGGCGCGAGGTCGGCAGGCTGCAAGCACATTCATTCGTCCCTTTCGTCTAGGGGTATAGGACATCGCTTTTTCATGGCGAAGATATGGGTTCAAATCCCGTAAGGGACATATCAAAGGGCCAGGTCAGGCGGGTCACACTACTGAAGCCTGGGGGGAGCTGGAGCTGCGAGGGGGGAGGCAGGCAGCACAGCTAGACCAGGCCGGTCGAATTCGAATTTGAATCCCGCCCTGGCATTGGCAGGCGGACAGCATGGGCCGCTGATTGGAGATGATCAACGGTCCAAACAGAAGCGCAAAAAAAATTAGGGGGAACTGAGCGCCTGTAAATGTTTTTTGAGGCCGGCGTGGTTCTTGAGGCGCCGCATTAGGCATCTGGGCGTCCAACGGTTCAAAAGAGCCTGTCCCGTGATTTTGCGTTGGGAGGCCCGGTGGTACGTCCGACCGGGCATCCCGGGCGGGTTCCAGGCAAACTTATGTAGGCCCGGGCCGCACAGCTTGTGGCCTAGCTTTGGGCAGAATTTGATAATATGCCTGGGGTCTTCACAGAACACACATTGGTATTTGTCTACGCGGTCCTGCCAAACATTTTGCCCAATTCCCAAATCCTCCAAGGGCCGCCCTTCGGGTTGTCCTAGGTGCCATGGTCCTCTTCTGGGAGGTGACCAATTGGAACGCGGACGGTTAGACACGGGACCTTGACCCCTGCCTCCCACTTGGCGGTCCTTGTTGCCGCCAACCCCCGAAGGCCTGGCCATTCCTGCCTCGGCCTCATCCTCCTCCTTTTGGCCTCCCTCCATCCGCGACAGCAGCGTAGGTACTCCCCTTCTCTACCCCGCTGTCTACTTCTTCTAGTCCCCATTCAATGTCAGTGTACGGGACTTTCTCCGCACCACCTTCTTCCATTGTCAGAATCAAACTATCTTTGGCCTTGACCTGGCCAGAGATGGTGCGTCCTTTCCACTTTTTCCCCTTCGTCAAATCCTTATGCCAGAAAGTGGTAACTGTCATACGTCATTCCTGGCTGTTGTTTCCTAGCAAAGGAGTGCCCTTTCACTTGCTTGGGTAGTGCACGGTAAAATAGTTGGTAGAGCTGGGCCTCTGTCACTCCGTGCCCTGGTGCAGCAATAAGCTCGTCCATGGCGGCCTTTAGAGCGGGTACGCTCCTCCACTGCCGCGTGTGAATCATCTGGAGTTTGTCGGATGCCCTTATCCCACTGGTGGCATCCGCGAAGCGTTCTCGCAATGCAGCGAGAAAGTCAGTAAGGTGGGTGACGGCGGAGTATTTAACCATGTCATGCTTGCAGTGGGCTGCACGTGCGAGCGACCACGCAAAGCTGGTCGCTTCCTCTCTAAGAGCCTGAAAGGCTACCAAGAGATGATCCTCGGGTTCTGCGCCTTGTAAATATATAGATCATTGAACATTAGCTTCCCAATTGTCAAAGTCGTCGTCCTCCTTTCCACTGAATGGCTCGGGAAAACGGACTTTGACTTTTTCGCGGTGGGGTCTGGGCTCTTCTTCTTTAGGGGCGATTAACTTGGCGCCCTCTATGGTGCCTGTACAAAATTTTCCGTTGTTTTCGAAAGCAATTTAACCTTCCCCTTGTATTTTGTATGAAAAATGAGTTGTTTTACATTTTGTTGGACGCGGCATGCTGTCTGCATCTAGAAAAGTCAATCATTGGAGTCGTGATCGAGTTGTGGGTGTGAATTGGTGTGTGTAGTGCTGGGTGCGGATGTGTCGATATGCTGGTTCTGGGTGAAGTGTTTTTGGTGGTCAAGTGGAGTTTGTGAGGGCATATTCTTTTTTGGGTGACTTTCACTGTTCTTGACCTCTTGCGGACCAATCCAAAGAGAGTGCTTGGAGCAAGTGGAGTTTGTGAGGGCATGTAATGGGAAGTATATTGCAATGCTTGGAGAGGGCACATTGGCAAGTCTGTGATGAAGTGTGACATTACCAGCGCTGCCTGTTGTATACACACGGCGAGTTGCTTCTCGCTGTGGTACAATTCTCCATGTGGTTGTTCATGCAGTATGTTCATAGGGATAGTCTTCAGTCTCACAGCAAATTTTAGCAAGTCAGCCATGAGAGATGGTTAGCAGTCTGCATCTGCTTGATGAATCTTTCCAGTACCTTCACTCGGATCAAGGCAGATAATCTGTCTGGTTTGCTGTTTGTAGTTAGTGAAGGTTGGTGTGCACCAGGCTTTTCGCACAAGAACTAATCTCCTTGGTATGTATCTTTGCTCCAACCTCTAGGCATCTCAGCTATTGTCTGCTGACATATGGCTCCAACTAATCTCCTTGGTGCGCACCAGGCTTTTCGCACAGTTGCAATGGTTTCTGATGCAAGAGTTCTCTGGTGCTTCCTGGCAGGCTTACCTTGAGCAGGAGCAAGAACGACTGGCTATGAATGATGCACGGTGTGCAGTTGGAATGGGTGGCCTTCTGGTCGATGAGAAGGCTTTGCGGATTGGATTTTGGGATGGCGCAAATGCAGCAGGACCCGATGAGGATGGGGAAGTTGATATGAGGCGCTTGGAACGCACACATGCTGTGATGCAGGCAACAGAACTGTGGGACTCGTTGATGAATCATGCAGGTGTAATATCGGGACTTGACAGTTTGTTCTTGCTTGCTCTGTAGACCCTTACTTCTCGTATCCTGGCACAATTCTTTTTTCTCTCTCCACTAGCACTCCTGTATTCCTCATTGTTCGGCGAAATCAGAAGTCCCAGCGATTATGATGTTCAGAGAGCTTGTGCTTGATTTTGCTGGGAAGATCTTTCTGGGATTGTTCTACATAATGTCTTGTGGTGTCGTAGGTCTTTCTCCATCTCCGATTCCTCCACTCCATTCTGAAATCATATCCCGCAGTTACGCTTGCGAAAGTCTCTATTTCTGTTTTTCCCTTGGGTGAGCATCCTTTTATACTGCAGGGTCTACACTGCACTGTGAGGGAATTGCCACTCTTGGTGTGTGCTTTCTGGTCCTCAAATGGGCCGGAGGAAATGCATGTGTAGAAGGTAACATGTTTGCTTGCTTGAACTCCTCATGACCTTCAATTGGGCAACGGTGGAAGAAAGGTCAGATCTCATGGTTTGTTCTAGCAGCGCTTGCAAACCAGAAAGGGGTTGTCATCCTTTCCCTTCCCACCTGCACCAAATAAGCAGGTGTGAAGGGACGGGACTCCCTTCTGCTGAGGATGGTGTAGTTGCTCAAGCCACTGCATGTGGACTGGAGTGGTTTAGTGTTTTTTTAATCCTTTAATCCAGGTGTTTTGTTGTTGGTTAAACCATCAGTACCTCCGAGCCTGTTTTTGCCGACCCTGAATTTCACTGCGCTCCAAGTTTGCCGAGCCTGGGTCCCACTCCATTTCCTTATGGTACTATCACGGGGAGAAAAAAAAAAAAGGAAAAAAAAAAAAGAAAAGTTGCGGCCATCAAACTCACAAAAAAGAAAAGGAAACAATGCTCTGGCCGTGATTTTGTATACATTCTTGGAAGTGGTAGTGTGAGTGTGCTCTCAGTGAGGGCATCTCAGCCCCGTGGCCAGGTTGTCAGATTCCAAAAGCACACACACAAAAGAAAAAACACAGAAACACGTATTCGGCCGTGAAAATGGCTGGATACGTTCCTCTAAGTGCCAGTATGATGAGGGTTACAATCCTCTGAGGGAACACAGCCCGAGCACATCACAGATTCAGATTGTCAGATTCTGGAAACAGAAAAGAAAAAAAAAAGAAACGGAAACACGCATTCGGCCGTGAAAATGGCTGGATACATCAGGGTTACAATCCTCTGAGGAAACACAGCCAGCGCAGATCACGGATTCCGCCGTGCCTCGTTGGCAGAGGACTCATAATAAACAAACGAGAAATTAAAAAAGAAAACAAGAAGCTTTTTTGCTGTAGGATGCATTCTGTAGACAAAGACTGTGAGCACGGCCTCCTAGACTACCCTGCCCAGCATCATTGCAGTATATAAGCTTTTTTTTTTTTTCCTTCACACGCAGGCAAAAGAAACTAAGATTTATGGGACTTGCTGACCCTGGGCCCTACCACCGATTTCTTCTCGGACAGACCAGTGCATTGTAATTTCCCAAAACTGGCAGAGGTACTGGTGGTTTAACCTTTTTATTTTTATTTTTTAAACACAAGTACCCTTCTATTCTCGGGGGCAACAGTCGGGTTACTTGTCACCGGCAAGCGAGTTTGTACATCCGAGGAAGAGGGAAGATTAGATCAGAGAAGGGTAATAGTAACCTTTGTGGCATTAGTCAGCTAGCAAAGGGGGAGCTGCAGAAGTGGGGCCACCCCTCCAAACCATGGTCTTTCTCCGGGGGCCACCCTGCTGGCCGGGAGCCTTTCTAGAAGCACCCAGACACGCAGCAGGATGACCCTCAGAGGAGCACAAAAATGGGAGGGGGCGCCCGTGCAGTTCCTCAGGCCGCCTTTCAAAAACCCACATGTTACTGTGTCATCGCTTTCCAACTTTGTCTACCTTTGTCCAGCTCTCATTTTATCCATCTTGTCCTGTTTAGGCTGCCTTAAACCACCTGTACCTCGTCCAGCTAAAACAACCTGACACTGCGTAGAATGGATGTCGGGAAGAAAACGACTTGTCCGTCACTGTAGCTGGGCGAGCGACTCAACTATTTGCACAAAGAAGAAAAACAAGAGCAAAGGCAAAAAAGAATAAAAGCATTCATCGGATATGATACTTTGTAAAGAAAAAGACAAATGGTTGAGAGAGAGAGAGAGAGAGAGAGAGAGAGAGAGAGAGAGAGAGAGAGAGAATGACTCTTACCACCCTGTAGTGGTGGATTCATTCTGGATTTGATTACAAACTATCACTGGGAGGGGTGGGGAGGGAGATGAAAGGGTCTTCACCCAAAATGCAGATCCCAGGGCTCGATCCCTAGACCTATCCCGTACCCTTGTACAGTTACCCGATGCCCCTGCGTGCCTTGAACCTGCGACCTGTCCCCAAAAACGTATGTCTGTGTTTTGTGTACTTAGTTGGTCGCCTGGACTTGAACCGTAGACTATAGGCTCAGCGACTTGTGCTGTTCAGAGCTGTAGGAGTCAGTTGTCCGTAGCTGAGTCAGCAAGGTACAGCCTAGTCCTAGTCTAGTCAGCTGTCCCAGTCTCAGTCCCAGTCCACCTTGTCCAGTCAGCAAGTACCAGGTGGGGCTGCACACTCCGTGGGCCTGGGACCGGAGGCAGGCCAGACCACTGACGAAACAGTACAAGTAAAGAGGCAGCGCCAAGCCATTCATTCACTCACCTGTGAACCATGCGGAAGTGCTGCTTATGCGACTTGTGCGTTGGAGGTCTGCAGGTGCCTGACAAAGAAGAGGGCGAGCAGCCATAGCCGCTAGTGGAGGAGGAAGATGACGACGGCCATAGCTGCCCAGTTGCTGACGTCAGCAGATAGAATGTAGTGTGTGTGTGTGCGTGGACATTCAGGGTAGACCCTATGTGTGTGTGCATGTGCGTTAAGTTGCATGAGTGTCTGATGGTGGAGACTATTCGAGGGGGAATTCAGGCTAGCGCTCAGTGGCCATAGCTGCTAGATGTGAGATGTTGACTTAAGCTGAGTTCCTGGCCTAAGGCCATATTTCTGAGTTTTCTGTGTGGGCGCAGTGCGCCATCGCAAGTTTGTTGCTGATTCTGAGTTAACGAAGTTGTGTTGCCATCGGCACCTACATATATGCATGTTGTGAGTGAAATTGTGACAAGTCTGATTGCAGAGATAGAGACAGAGAAGGTAGCGCCGGCCAGTTTTGCGCAGGGATATCGCCGTCGCTCTCTCTCTCTCTCTCTCTCTCTCTCTCTCTCTCTCTCCCCCCCCCCCCCCC